TGACTCAGAAAAGGGAGGTGGATCAATTAATGAAGTTAAATGTAGACAAAATTAACAGGATATAATAATCAGAGATAGTAGGAACTTCGATGCTGGACTCTGAGATAACAAGGTGTGTAGCTGGATGAACACAGCAGGCCAGGCAGCATCAGAGGTGCAGGAAAGCTGACGTTTCAGGTCTGGACCCTTCTTCAGAAAAATATAATAATGTCAATTCCACAGTTCTAAAGACAGTGAAGATGGTTATGCAAGATTACAAAGAGATCTTGATCAATTGGGTTAATGGGCCGAGGAGGGGCAGATGGAGTTTAATTCGGATAAATGCGAGGTATTGCATTTCGCGAAAACAAACAAGGGGTAGGACTTATACAATGAAAAGTAGGGCCTTGGGGTGGTGTTGTAGAACAGAGAGACCTAGGGGGTTCAAGGACATAATTCTTTGAAGTTTACGTCACAGGTAGACAGGGTGGGGAAGAAGGCATTTGGCACGCTTGCCTTCATTGCTCAGACCCTTTGAGTGTAGGAGTTGGGGACGTCACGTTGAGGTTGTACAGGGACGTTGGTGAGGCCTCTTCTGGAGCACTGTGTCCAGTTCTGGTCGTCCTGTTATAGGAAGGATATTATTAAACTGGAGAGGGTTCGGGAGAGATTTACCAGGATGTTGCCGGGAATGGAAGGTTTATAAAATGATGACAGGTTTAGATAGAGTTGATAGTAATTGTCTTTTCGCTTAGATGGGGTATTTCAAGACTAGGCAGTACATCTTTAAGGTGAGAGGAGAGAAATTTTAAAAATATATGAGCAGCAAACTTTTTACACAGAGGGTGATTCGTGTTTGGAATGAACTTCCTGCTGAAGTGGTGGATGTGGGTACAGTTACAATGTTTGAAAGACATTTGGATGGATACATGAATAGGAAAGGTTTGGAGAGATATGGGCCAGGAGCAGAAAGGTGAGACGACTTTAGTTTGGGATTATGGTCAGCATGGACTGGTTGGATCGAAGGGTCTGTTTCTGTGCTGTACCACTCTAAGTGGCCTTGGGAGTAGTGAATGGATTTGTGTTCCAGACCAGAAACATATAGACTCAGGACTAATTCCCAACAGACTGGAGGGCAGCAAATGTAACCCCAGTATTTAAAAAGGGAGTGGGAGAGGGATAAAACAGAACTGTGGAGCAGTTAGCCGAACAGCCAGTGGTGGGCCAAACGCTGGACTCTGTATTGAAAGACATGACAGAACATTGGTAAAGTAGTTGGACAAAGGGTTTTTGAAAGGCAAATCAAAGTGGGCATAAATGAGTGTGTTTTCCGCTTGGCAGCCACTGACGGGTGGGTAACGCAGGGATCAGTGTTTGGCCCCAGGTATTCTTTTAGAAATGACCCAGATGGGGGTAAACAAACGCAACATTTCCAACTTTGCTCATGACCCACCCCTCCCTATCACTGTCACCTCCTCCAGCCCCTACACCCCCTCCCTATCTCCGTCACCTCCTCCAGCCCCCTACACCCCCTCCCTATCTCCGTCACCTCCTCCAGCCCCCTACACCCCCTCCCTATCTCCGTCACCTCCTCCAATCCCCTACACCCCCTCCCTATCTCCGTCAGCTCCTCCAATCCCCTACACCTCCTCCCTATCTCTGTCACCTTCCTCCAGCCCCCTACACCCCCTCCCTATCTCCGTCACCTCCTCCAGCCCCCTACACCCCCTCCCTATCTCTGTCACCTTCCTCAGCCCCTACGCTCTTTCCCAACTTCTGCAACTCTCAGAATATCTTTGTATAGTTTTCCTATCCTGCCTTCTCAGTTTGATTCCTGCGAATGGCCCTGGGATGTTTTCCAAGCTGATCTCCCATTTTTCTGACAGCTGTTGTGAGCGGATGCCTGGGATGAAGAGGAGGCTGATGGCGTAGGGGAAGATTAATGAGATTAACGTTAGACTATGGTCTCATGGCAGAATACACCCAGGATAGGATGGAGAAAGAGGGATAGGGAGTGTGAGAGAGAGAGAGACGAGGGGAATGAGGGGAAATTAAGGCAGATCTTGGAGTGAGGAAAATGAAGAGGATT